CACCACCTGTCCAGGGATGGCACTGACCACTTGGGCTGGCCCTCCTCCATTAGTCACCAATCAAGGAAATATCCCACAGACTTGGCTCTGAGGGAGGCATTCTCTCAACTGAGGTTCCCTCTTCCCAGATAACCCTACCTTGTGGAAATTGACAGAAAATCCACCAGCACACTTTTCCAGGACAGCAGAGAGGTATGTACAACACACAAGTTCGTACGTCCATCCACTTTACCCTTTCCTCGTACCTTCATATTGAATGTTACCTCTGCCCAAGCACAACCTGTAGCCCCTCCACCCACCCATTTATTCACTAATGCTACGGTCACCTCTGTACCATCTAATTATAGGTCACTGTGATTGTCACCACAATTTACATGTCCAAACTCAACTCAGTGTTCTGTAGGCAACCGTCCTCTCATGTGGCGTCTCAAACACAGAACAGTGCCCTCCAACACCCCCTCAGCAGCAGGATACCCAGAGTCCTCTGAATTTTAATTAACTACCCAAAAATGCAGGTGTGCCCGGCATAAAGCAAAAATGTAGGCTGGGCATGGTGGCACACACCTTTAATCCCAGCACTCAGGAGGCAGAAGCAAGTGGATCTCTGTGAGTTCGAGGTGAGCTGGTCTACAGAGCAAAAACGTTGAATCCATTAAGTTCTTCCTAAGTGTGCCCAGCAAATGCCACTATAGATAAGCACCACCCTAGTCCACATCCTCTGGTGTTCCTATCACAGGAGAGGCTTGGAGAGACAAGTGCAGCCCAAAATTACACACCCAGTTGCAGTAACTTGTGCCCACGGTAGGCCTGAAGGTATGTAGACTCCAGAGACCATGCTGCATGCTAGTTGCCTCTCATCGTCACCAAATAAACATGTGGAGTCTAGAAGAATGAGGTTTGCATGTGTCCACTGTGCTCCTTCTCAGCAACCATCATTTACACCCTAGACAAATGTTTATTTAAATTTAGATATGAAAATGTGCTCAGATTTCTTAAATATCCAAGAGTTCTACATCTGCTAAAAACACTCTTTTTCCAGGAAGGAATCAACTCATAGTCAAGTATGCTAGTACATGCTTGTTTTGCTAGCACAGGGAGAAGGAGGTAAGAGGCCACCTGTTCAAGATTAGCCTGGGTTACACAGTCAGACAAGGCTACCCTGGGCTGAGGATGTAGAACACCTACATAACACATGTAAGCTCTTGGATTACATTCCCAGTATCATATGTACAAAATATTTTTTCTAATCTTGTTAATAAACAAAAAGATACAGGGCTGGTGGCTTACCCCTGTAGTAGAATACCTGTATAGCAAGTGTGAGACTCCTGGTTCTATCATCAATGTAAAGTAAAAAATAAAAATTAAAAACCTATGTGGGGGAAGTATCAGATCCAATTAACCAAACCCAGAAGTTTTCCCAGGCCAATAAGAATATGGCATCCAGTTAACACCTTTGACTAAAGAGAGGCTGGTGGGAAGCATGAGACACACTAAAGATAAAAGTCACATGACGAATACAGAGGCATTTAAAATGGGAAAATGCAACCAGGTAGTGGTGGCACACACCTTTAATCTGGCACTCAGAAAGCAGAGGCCAACCCAGCCTATAATTCCCAAAGGGAAAGGGTTCCCCTGACGTGGTGTGAAATGAGCATTCCTCCATGGCGGGTACTCTTCACAGTGAACAAGGCCCATGAAATGCTAAGGCTGAGGTAAGCCAGGCGAGAGCCCAAGTGGAAAAAGAAGACCTTACTCCTAACTGGACCCTGAGTGCCTACTTCCTCGGGAAGTCATCCAGGGGATCCCAGAGCTTACTACTCCAGGCTATACCACTCCTGGTGAGTGACTAATCCTCAGTGTCAACGTGACTAGATTTAGAATCACCATGGAAAAGTAGTCTAGAGGGAAGACCCATCCTGGTCATGCACAGTCCCATGGGCTGAAGTCCCAGAGCAAACCAAAAGGAGAGAGCTGCACAGCAGCATTCCCCTTGCCAGGTCCCAGACTGCAGATGGGTGGCTGAGTCCATGGTCACAGGTGACCTCCTGCTGTTCTGAAGCCTCAGATCGTTTCATTAGCTATAGACCTTGAAGCTGCCCGGAGGGGGTGATGGGCAAAAGGAAGTGGACAAAGTCAAGTGTTCTGAGAGAAGGCTGAGGGAACTGGCGTGTCTGGAAGTAGAGAGAGCTTAGGAAGGAGTGCCAGAGAGAGAATGCTCATCTAGTGCAGGCAGGCATGTTGAGGACAAATAGCTACCAGGGGAGAAAAGGGGAGGCTACACTGTGTGAAGTAGAGCTCAAGACAGTAGGCAGGCCAAATGCAGACCAGGGAGTAGCTGCAAGACTCCTGTCTCCCCATGGCAGCCAACATTCCCTCTGGAGGGGAAGAGGGCTCCTGCAGCCAGGCAAGCTTGCAATGATGACAGAACTCAAGAAACCTTAGGCAACAGGACCTAGTTGGAGAATAATGGTCACTGGGGCATTGTCCCCTCTCAGGAGCCCTTTCTGCTTCCCAGATGCAGGACGAGCAGCTTGCACCATCATGCACCAGACACAGTGACTGGGGACTATTACCTCCAAAGCCATGAGTCACCGTGTTTCCTCTTTTTACTTCTCTTGGAAAGCCTATCACAGGAACCAAAATGTTGACAAACACACTATCTGGGCACCATCATTAGCCTCTCTAGAAAAGGCACAATGTTACTAGTTTAGGCTGTCCTAAAGATGCAATGTCAACACAGCACCAAGCAATAGTAATTGATGACTAATACTACCAATACCTAGCCACAGCCAACAGCCAGAGCAGCCGGAATCAACTTTTTCTTCTTTTTTTTTTAAGTGTATGTGTATGTCTGTGTGTACATACCTTTATGCGTGGTACCCACAGAGGCCAGGAGAGTACATAAGATCCCCTGGTACTGAAGTGATAGGCAGTTGTGAGTCACCTGACATAGATGTTGAGAATCAAACTTGGGTCCTCTGCAAAAACAGTAAATGCTCTAACCTGCTGAGCCATTTCTCCAGCCAGGAACTAACTTTTTAAAATCTACTATTCAACAGCGTTTTTACGGTGTGTGTGTGTGTGTGTGTGTGTGTGTGTGTGTGTGTAGGTGGGCATACAAATCATAGCAAGCATGTCGAAGTCAGATGACAATAGAGAGAGTTTGTTCTCTTCTTTCACCTCTGGGTATCTGAGATCAAATTCAGGTCATAAGGTGCCACAGCCAGAGACATCTTGCCAGCACGAACATTAAGATCTTACCTAAGAAAAGGTGCAGCTGTTATGTAGGAACACAATCATCTGACATTATGTGGTGATATTTTGTTTGTGCTTTAACAAATAAAGCTTGCCTGAAGATCAAAGTGTGGAGCTAGCCACACTAGTTAGCCATAGAGACCAGGTAGCGGTCACATTTAATCCCAACACTCGGGAGACAGAGGCAGACAGATCTTTGTGAGTTCGAGGCCACCTGGGCTACATGAGATTGAATCAGTCTAAAAGAGAAAGAGAAACAAGCAGTAGAGAAGGGAAATGATATGGCTGGGCAGAGAAAATATACGGCAGGAGGAGACAGAAGCTCAGGATCCAGTCTGAAGTTTTGCAGAGAAGGCATTCAGTCTGAGGATTCCTAGAGACAGGATACCCCATTTGTTCTGATGATTTTGTGGGGTGAGAACTAGGAGCTGGTTGCTCTGCTTCTCTGATCTTTCAGCTTTTACCCCCTAATATCTGACTCAGGGTTTTTATTATTCAGACCAAGTATAAACTGTACTACGGAGGACAGATATCTCTCGGGAAATGAACAGCACAATGATGAAGGAAAGTGAACACACATATACTACACACACACTGCACACAGACCTGAGTGTGTGCACACTATACACACTGTGTGCACAGGTGCACTGCACAGAAACACGCACATGCACACACACTGCACACATATGCATACATACATTACACATACACACACTGCACACATATGCTCATTACTGCACATACATGTACATGCACACACACACTGCACAGAAACACGCACATGCACACACTGCACACATACACACACATATACACACACACATTACACAGACACACACTGCACACATATGCTCATTACTGCACATACATGTACATGCACACACACACTGCACAGAAACACGCACATGCACATACACTGCACACATACACACACATATACACACACACACATTACACAGACACACACTGCACACATATGCTCATTACTGCACATACATGAACATGCACACACACTGCACAGAAACACGCACATGCACACATACACACACATTACACAGACACACACTGCACACATGTGCTCATTACTGCACATACATCCACATGCACACACGCACACTGCACACACATGCACAGACACTGTACACACACACTACACAAAGTCATGCTGGTCTGTCACAGAGGCAGACACAGCAGCCTCTGTTCTTGGCACCTTTTCATGAACGGTAAAGTGGTTTTTGAAAATCACCTGTTTTCTGAGCATGGTGCACATGTCTGTAAACTCACTACTGGCAGAGCTAAGGCCCCTAACAGTACTAGGGGTTCAGGAGAGAGAGTTCAGCAGGTAAAAGCATTGCCACCGAAGCCTGTCCAACCTGAGTTCGACCCCAGAGTCTATGATGGAAGGAGAGAACCAACACCCAAAAGTTGCTAACCTACATACATGTATTGTGGCATGTGAGCACTTGCACTCACACATACTATAATACATAAACCAAAAAAAAAAAATTGAGCCAGGTGATGGTGGCACATACCTTTAATCCTGGCACTCAGGAGGCAGATGCAAGCAGATCTCTGTGAGTTCGAGGCCAGCCTGGTCTACAAGAGCTAGTTCCAGGACAGGCTCCAAAGCTACAGAGAAACCTGTCTCGAAAAACCAAAGAGAAAGAGTGAGAGAGAGAGAGAGAGAGAAAGAGAGAGAGAGAAAGAGAGGAAGACAATGAGGATGACAAAAAGTAAGACCTCACCTGCTGTCAGAGTCCGAAGCGATCTCCTTTCTCCCTCCAAAGCGGATCTGGCACTGCAGAGAAAGAGAATGCTGAGGTCAGCTGCTAGGCTGAGACGGAGACATCACAGAACAGCCCACAAGGTCTTCAGATACAGTGGGGACAGAGGCCCTGGTACTTCAAAAGTAAGAAGACAACACTCTGGCCTCAGACTCCTCTTACAGGAAGCCTAGTCTCCCCCTTGACTCCAGGAAGTGGGCAAACTAGGCAGACAGGAGCGCAGGCCCTGCAGTTACCAGGGAGCTCTCTGGCGCTGAGAACCTCCATGCCTGTGCTGATGGCTCTTCTTGACAGAGCCCCAAAGGGTTAGACTGTGTCAAATGACAGCCACCTTGTTGTGCTGAGCAGCTCTGCCAGGCTGGGTGGATGGGAAAGCTACCTGTTTAAAATCAGAGCTACAATGCTACCCTAACCATTTCAGCCATGAACCCAGTCCACACAGTCACCTCACCTTCACCTCTGTCGTTGTTGGTTTGATCTGCTTTGTTTTGAGACAGTCTCACTCTGCATCCAATTCACAGCCAATTCTGTGACCAAATTCACAGCAATCTTGGGATTACATACATGTATACACTCCCAGCTCACTATTCCATGTTAAAGACAGAATCTTTTTTATGGGTAGCAAACTTGCATCCTATGAGACTTAGGATTAAAAACTACATACAATCAAAAAAGGATACTGTTATCAGAATTTGTGACTTGCCAAGTGGTATATTTTAATTGTAGGTAAATGATAGATAAATACATTTGCTGTTTTTTGTTTTTTAAGATAAATATCACAGTTCAACCCCTCAGAATAACCGAGAAGTTGTGACCAGAAGCCCCAACCTGCTTCTTTAGGTGCTACATGAACAGCCACTGAACTCATTCCTTGTCTTGCTGTCTTGTGTTCTGGATTAACTGCAGACCAAACTCTACCTGTGCTAACAAGTATGATTCATCCAGCATCCCGTGCAGAGGGAGGGCCAGACTCCAGGGGAGAAGAGACGACCTTAGGCCTATAAATTCTATGACCAAAAGCAACCTGAGCAAGAAAGGGTTTATTTCATCGGGCATGTCCACATCGCAATCATCACCAAGGGAAATTGGTGCAGAAAACTGAGGTAGGAACTGAAGCAGAAGCCATGGAACACACGGCTCACTGGCTTACTCTGCCTGGCTTGCTCAGCCTTTCTAACAGCACCCAGGACCTCCTGCTGAGGGTTGGCATCTGCCCCTATGAGCTGGGCCCTCCTCCATCAATCATTAATCAAGATAACACACTACAGACTCACCTACAGTCCACCTGATGAAGGCATTTTCTCAACTGAGGTTCTCCTTCCCAGGTAATAATTCTAGCTTGTATCATGTTAACAAAAGTCTGACCAGCACAGGGACACACTCAGAAAAGGCAGACAAATCTGGCAGCTGAAAAGAATGTGGAACTCCCTCAACCTATTCACCACACGAGGCTCCCTCAACTTCCAAGCAAACATTGGATTCTCTGGCCCCACTTCAACATTTAATCCACAAACTCTATAAGGTCTTTCCCTCCTTGTAATCACATGCCAATAACAGTCAGCAGTCCCTTCCGAGAGCGATTCTTCAGTCTCCTTACTAACTGATGTTTGAGTGAGCTGCTGATCTCTCAGCTTCACTCAGTGCCGTGATCTGTAGAGTGGAAACAGTCACAGGAACTCCTCTGTCAGTGCTGAAGAATTCACTGTAAGGTTGACATGTGATGACAGCTAGCATTACAGTGTCAGGCAAGCCAGCATCAGCAGCCACAGCAGCGTATCAGGAAGCCAGCACAGCTGCTGGCAACAGAGGCTCGGGGCATTTGTACTTTGGGAGTCGTAACTGCAAGCCAGCACCTATGAAGAGCTGCCCTAAAACAAATCTGCTGGGAAATCAAATTCTGAAATGAAGACAGTCATTGCTAAAGGATAGACTTTGAAACTCCAAACCAATAACTTCCTCTATCCCTACTCTTACTGCCTTCCCTGCTCAGTCATTCCCTAAGGAAACTCTTTGTTTAGCCATTCTCTGAAACAGCTGGACTTGGTGGTACACAGCCGTAATTCCAGCAGTTGGGAGGCTGAGGTGAAAGTACAAGGCCAATACACGTTACTTAGGGAGTTCAAGGCCACCCTGGGTGACCTGCTGAACCTAGTCTCAAAACAAACCCAAAACCATTCCCAGACACAAAATAAAGCTGTGCACATAAAAGGGAAGAAATGACTTCTACGTTACCTTCGGACATTCACACAAAAGGCTGCTGTGTGCATTCTTACCTGCTTCACTGCGTCCAGCAGTCGCTCCAGCAGGAATTGCCTTTTGTCATCATTCTGTGACCCTGAAATAAAATGGGGTTTAATTACTTCTATTTGATAACTAGACTCTGATTAAGGCTTTCTGGCACGCGATGCCAAGCTCAGTGACACAACACGGGCTTTTAATCCCAGCACTCAGGAGGTAAAGGCAAGAGGATCTCTGTGAGTTTGAGACCAGCCTGGTCTACATAAGCAAATTCCAGGATAGCCAGAACTACAGAGACTCTGTCTCAAAAGAGAAAAAAAAAAAAAGGCTTTCTGACATTTGACATAATACATGGCTGTCCACAAACAAGCCCAGTCCTTAATTCATCTTTAACAAAGTAAGTGGACAAACTGGGCACTAACAATCTATACCACTACAATGAGGTACTACATCACAGGAAAACAGTTAAACGCAGTTTCCACAGATTGAATGTATCAGTTTCTTTGTTGTGATACTACTGATACTTTAGGGAATGTAGCAATGTCCCTGGCATCTACTCAGTGGATACCATTAGCATGTGCGCACAGACACACACACACACACACACACACACACACACATATAAAAATAACCATGCCAACTGTAGAAATAATCAGGCTAGCTAAGGATAAAACAATTACATTTTATTTATTATAAGGGAAAAAACTCAAGAAACAGGAAACAAGAAGTCCAATCACAGCAATGTCCTGCTGGGAAAAGATGCAGAGTGCACACGGAGGTGCACACCTTTTTACCTGGGTCCCAGTGAAGTCACACCTTAACTAAGACCCACCTCTTAAAGATTATTGGCTAGCAATGCTTTCCCCATCACACACACACACACACACACACACACACACACACACACACACACAGAGTTGGCTTCCTACATTGTTCCTACATTGTCAAACATGTCCTGGAGGGTAGGGCTGCCCCTACCCATGAAGTAGCATGTAAGTTGCCTGGAATAGCAGGCACTGTCCTTGGATGGTCTTACTACCTTTTCCCCTACTATCAGCTAGACAGGCTGGGAAACCTAGTTGCTAACTTTCTCAGCTATTGCTGACATTACAGAGTTGGTCAATGATGTCTGGGGATGTGACCCAGTCGACAGAATGCTAGCCTAGCATGTGTGGGGCCCTGGGTTCAGCACCTCATGAACCAGAAATAGTGGACACACCAATTATTAGAAAGTGGATGCAGGATGGTCGGGAATTCAAGGTCTTCCTTAGCTACAAAAGGAGTCTGGGGTCAGCCTAGATTGATTATCTGAGACCGTGTCTTAAAAATAAACAAACATCAACAGGTTGGTCAGTAAGAAGCAAGCAAGAGTGTGCTTGGTATGCTATCCCCTGCGAAATGGCGAAGGGTGTCGCTCCTTCCTCAATCCTCATGCCTGGGTTACTTTACCACTCTGAGCCAGAGCAGTCCTTTGCCCATTGAACTACATGCCCAAAGGGAAATCCAGGAGAACCACAAAGGAGCCTCCTGGTACCTTTGTGTGCCTGGCAGTGAGATGCTAAGTCAATACCACAAATAATTCTCATCAATCAAAAAACACATCTGTTCAAACCACCATAGGTGCTTGGTCGGTTTGTTACAGTCAAATAAATTCCCAAATGATTCCCACTAGAACAAGGCACACGCAGAATGTTTACTAAGGAGCTTTAGGGAAGGGGCCTTCAGCACCAGGTAGACCACTAACAGGTGGCATAGATGCTCAATAAGAGGCCGGGAGGCACCAATCAACAGAGTTAGGCTGTAGATAGCAATGCCCCAGTCACAGAGCAGTCACTTTGAACAACAGGAAAAGAACTACTCAGTGTCCTCAATCCTGGGCCACACCAGGAGAATTGTTGGAGACACGGGAATGAAAAGGTATAAAGTCATTTTCTCATATATTAGGAAGAGAAGGTGGTGCGTAAGCATACGAGTAATAAACAGTGATGGAGACAGGAAAAAACCACAACAATAAAGCAGGAAGAGAGGACCAGAAAAGCCACTACAGCCAACACGGTGTGGGCTCTCTGCACAAGTGACATGGGAGCTAAATTCTTCATAAAGAAGAGCAGCAGCCATAGAAGGGCCCATTCCATGCAGAGCAAACAGCTAGGGGAGAGGCTGAGGCAAGACAAGCTCAGCTTCTGTGTTTCAGGACGAGAGGGGCAGGGGTAGGCATAAGAACCATCAGACAGGGGGCTGGAGAGATGGTCCAGCGGTTAAGAGCACTGACTGCTCTTCCAGAGGACCCGGGTTCGATTCCCAGCACCCACATGGCAGCTCACAACTGTCTGAAAATGCAGTTCCATGAGATCTGACACCTTCACACCAACAAACATAATAAAGTTAAGTAAATAAATAAAAAAAAGTTTAAAAAAAAAAGAATCATCAGACAGGACTACAAGTCTCCTGGGGTTGGGGTGGGCAGGACCATCAGACAGGGCAGGAGAGCATCTAGTTGGTCATGGAGGGTGCTTCAAACCAGTCTAGCAGGCTAAGATTCTGCTTTAACCTGGGCACTAACTGGGGCAAGTGTGAGTCTGATGGAAGACATTGGCCCCCTGAAGTCTGTGTTGGAATCACATCATGATGCCTGCCTTCCTCCAAGCCGGGAGATAAAACGAAGACACTCAAGAAATAATTACTTTTGCTGAAAGAGGCTTTGACAGGCAGCCCTACACCGGATTCTCAGCAGACCCTCACACATCCTCACCCCTGTGCCTCTCCTTAGCCCTCTCTTCACTTAGCAGAAGGGTTAGTTTCTGCTCTTCCCTCTTAACACCAAAATGGAAAGTACAGCTTTCTTCCTTCCTTTTTCCAAGTAACAGACTCAACAACTCCTCACACTGGACAGTAGCAACTAGAAATGACAGTTTCACCCTGGAAATGCCTCTACCACGTTATTCTCATCATAACAGAAATGTATGTGACTAAAATACAATAAAAACAAATCAGGAAAAAGAAAAAGCTCTTCTACCTCCCTGGACAGGCACTCTCCTAGTCAGCCATGTGCCCAGCCACAACTACTAATTTGTGAGGAGTGGGAACATCTGTGTGCACCACAGAGATGTGTGTATGTTTGTGCATGTGCAGGTACATGTGTGTGCATATGCATCCCGACACAAGAGTTTAGCCTCAGGTCTCATTCCTCAGGAGCTGTCCATTTGGGCTTGTTTATTTGTTTGTTTTCCTTTTGAGCGGGGTCTCAGGTTAGGCTGGTAATCCAGGGAGCACCAGGGATCCACCTATCTCTGTCTCCCAGATTTAGATTATGAGCATACTCCACTGCATCTGGCATTTTCACATGGGTACTAGGTATTTGAACTCAGGTCATCATGTACCCTGCGAAACACACCCTAGAGGCTCTCAGCCTAGAAGCTCTACCGGCAGTGATCTCTACCGTCATGAATCCCAGTGAAGACTATCAGACCCAGCAGGGCACCTGTGGTCACCTTATCCCTGCACAGACTGGGGAAGAGAGTGTCCAAGACACAGGGTGCACAGGCGGCTCCATGTATCAGTAGCAGGAAGTACAGAGGGAGGCCCCTGGTTATGAAGGCAGGAACAGGCATTAGGAAGTCACAAGATGTAAGTCCTCATCCTAGCCAGGCCACTTGCTGGCCATGTGACAAGGCAGTCACTTCCCTTCTCTGAACACTGGTTGTTGTATGAGAGTGTGTGTGCCACTAGCCCTGCATTATGCAGAAAGAACCGTGCACAAACTGGCACACAGAAACATAACGTGCTCTCTCACATCCTCCAGTGACAAACCAGAGAATGCAGCACACACGTATGCATGCATCAGAGCCCAGAAGCCCTACAACTTCCAGCACTGAAACTCCACAGAAAGAATGTCAAGTTAACACTATCTCCTGAGCCCCAACTGTGGGCTAGGTCAATAAATGACTAATCTACACAATCCTTGACCAAGAAGGAGAAAGGGTTCCACTCAGAGACAGAACTAAGGCTGGGGGAGAAGACATTGACACTGGCACCACACCTGTCCACAAAACACCTTGCAATAACAGCCATGTCTCAGTTACACTCCAGAGGTGAACCCTAGTCTTCCTGCTATCTCCAGGGACAGTGTAAGCTAACACCAGCTGCTAGTGAGCCAAACAAGCTTCCTTATTTCTTCTTAGATCACCATCAAAATTAAGGTCTCAAAATGAAGGGACTCGGGCTGGAGAGATGGCTCAGAGGTTAAGAGCATTGCCTGCTCTTCCAAAGGTCCTGAGTTCAATTCCCAGCAACCACATGGTGGCTCACATCCATCTGTAATGAGGTCTGGTGCCCTCTTCTGGCCTGCAGGCATACACACAGAATATTGTATACATAATAAATAAATATTTAAAAAAAAAATGAAGGGACTCCACATAGTAATAGACGTGTCTGGTGCGGGAAAGGCCCTGGGTTCCATCCCCAGCACCCCACACAAGAGGTCATATGTTCACATGATATACCACAACCCAGTTCAAACGGCACCCTGTGGCTTTTCCTTGTCCCTGTCCTTAAGAGCTAATTTTAATTTAGTGTTTAAATTCCAAAAGGTCCCATATAAATTTTATCACAAACTTCTGCCTGAGTCTCCACTCAAGATGAGTTCAAACATTATCAGGTCACATTTGCCATCTTGGTGGCAGGAATGAGAAAGTGAGAGCTTGTGCTATCCTTCTCAAAAGGACAGAAAAACTCAGAGGCAGAGACAGGGGAGGTTGGGGGCGGGAGTGGGTGGGGGGTGGATGGCTCTTGAGTGATAAGAATGTTTTAGAACAGGACAGAAGTGATGGTCACTCATTATAAATGGCACTAGAATGCTCAATTTAAAATGAAGGCTAACTCTGTGTCATATTGATAAAATATTTTATGGGGCCGGGCAGTGGAGGCAGAGGCAGGAGGATCTCTGTGAGCTCAAGGCCAGCCTGGTCTACAGAACAAGTTCTAGGACAGGCTCCAAAGCAACAAAGAGAAACCCTGTATCAAAAAAAATATTATGGGAAGGACTGCCACAGATAAAAGGAACAACTGGAGGACTGCCCCCAAAGGATGGACCCTCTT